AAATATATATATTTTATTGATTTTTTACAGAGAGGAAGGGAGAGGGATAGAGAGATAGAAACATCGATGAGAGAGAAACGTCCATCAGCTGCCTCCTGCACACTCCCTACTGGGGATGTGCCCACAACCAAGGTACATGCCCTTGACCGGAATCAAACCTGGGACCTTTCCATCCTCAGGCCGACACTCTATCCACTGAGCCAAACTGGTTAGGGCATATTTTTCCAACATCTTCTTATAAAAAGTTCAAGCCAGCAAAGTTGAAAGTCTTACGCAGCGAAAACCTGTAAACCATCACCTTGAATGCGCATTTAATATTTTGTTCCACTTGCTCCATCACATGCCTACCCATCGATTCATCCCTCTGTCCCTCAGCAATCCTTCTTATTTTGAGAGAAATTTGCAGTAAGATGCAGATGCTAGCACACGCCACCTCCACCATTTTGGTGTGTTTATCATTAACTGGAGTTCAATATTTGCTTAAGAGTTTCTTTCTTGAGATAAAGTGTGCAAACAGAGAAATTAACAAATCTCATGCATACATTTGCTGAGTTCAGATGAATACAAACACACCTGGGTAACCGAAACCTCGCACAGAAAAGAACATGGTCATCGCACCAGAAGTCACCTCGTGCCCCTTCCCAGTAAGTCCCACCCCGACCCCAGAGACCATTGCTGACGTGTGCTGTTCACCAGAGGTGCTCCTGCCTGTTCTAGAGTTTCTCATAACTCAGATCCCCAGCATGTGCGCTTCTGAGTCTGGCTTCTTGGGTTCAGCATAATGTTTTTGCAACATATCAATGCAATAACACGTTCTTGGCAGCTCATTTCCCCTTTTTGCTAGTCCTGTTCCATTATAAGAATACTAGAGGCCCGATGCATGAAATTTGTGCAAAGAGCTTAGCCCTCACAACCATGGCTTCTTTCGGAAGTTTATCCGGTCTAATTAGCATATTATGCTTTTATTATTATTATTATTATTATTATTATTATTTAAAATATATTTTATTGATATTTTACAGAGAGGAAGGGAGAGGGACAGAGAATTAGAAACATCGATGAGAGAGACATCGATCAGCTGCCTTCTGCACACCCCCTACGGGGATGTGCCCGCAACCAATGTACATGCCCTTGACCTGAATTGAACCTGGGACCTTTCAGTCCGCAGACCGACACTTTATCCACCAGTTTCTGCTGCTTTTATTATTGTTGATATCACTGATTATTTATCCATTCTCCTGTTGACTGCAATCATTAGTTTTGCAAAGAAAATTACTCTTTAATTAATTTGTAGTTATTCTCTTCTGCCTTTCTGATAAGAATTCTCATATCTCACACGCACTGGATCTGAGTCATGGCTGTTAGGAGCCTCGCCTTTGAAACCAGAAAACTCAGGACTTCAATTTCAGTCCCAACTGTGACTAAATGGGTGACCTCTGACCGGTGACCTAGCCACACGGTGCCTTGCTTTCCACACCTGAACCCTGGTAATATAAATATCTAAAGGGTAGAAACTGCTTATGAGGATTAGAGTTGTTTGTTCATGCCTTTGCTCATTCATGAAACAATCCCTAACAAGCACTTGCCATGTTCCCTAAGCGCTGAGAAAATAGGAAACAAACAGGCAGAGACCTCGGGGGCTTTCAGGCTGGTGGGCTACAAGGACCCAAACAACTAATTGCACAGCTAATGATTTTTTTAAAATATATTTTATTGATTTTTACAGAGAGGAAGGAGAGAGGGAGAGAGAGAAACATCGATGAGAGAGACACATCGATCAGCTGCCTCTTGCACATCTACTGAGAATGTGCCCGCAACCAAGGTACATGCCCTTGACCGGAATCGAACCTGGGACCCTTGAGTCTGCAGGCCAACGCTCTATCCACTGAGCCAAACCGGTTTTGGCTGCACAACTAATGATTTAATTGCCATTGTTATCAGTGCTGCAAGGGAGGTATGGCGGGTTGTTTGAGGAGGCTGAGGTGGAAAGATGAGCTGGTAAGAAGGCAAAGGGGAACCGTCAGGCAGAAGGAGCAGCAGGGAGTGCTCCCGAGGACAGGAGGCTGCACTGGGAGAACTGGGAGGCTGTGAAACTGAAGGGAGCAGGCATTGCGTATTGAAATGGTGGAGAAGGAAAGTCGCCCAGGGACTAAGTGGAGGCTGACCCTGCTGGGCTGTGCAGACCTTGTTCAAAATGTAGGCCTTTAACCTCAGAGCCCCAGGCAGCTAGGCCAGGCTGGACCCTAAGCTTCACAGAAGACAGGCGTGTGTGTGTGTGTGTGTGTGTGTGTGTGTGTGTGTGTGTGTGTTGGGGGGGGGGGATGTTTTGTTCACTGTTACATCCCTGGTGCTCAGGGCAGTGCCTGGATCGATCTGAAGAAGGGAAGGAGAGCGCTGCTTTAAGCAGAGGTTTGCGTCTCACCGGCTGCCGTGTGGAGGGTGGGCTGGAAAGAAGCTCCGAGCGTGCATTCGTTTGTTGGAGCTGCCATAACCAAATGCCACCAGCTGGGAGGCTGACACAGCAAAACTGGATTTTCTCAAAGTTCTGGAGACGGAAAGTCCAAAACAATGGTTTCTGCTGAGAGCTCCCTCCCTGGCAACTTTGTCGTGTCCTCACATGTTCCCCCTGTGCATGGAGAGAGGTAGCTGGTGTCCCTTCCACTTGTTAGAAAAACAGCAGTCCTATCACATTAGGCCCCCACCCATGACCTCATTTAACTTTAATTATCCCCTCTCCCACCTCCCCCCTGAGACAGTCACTTTGGGAGTCAGAGTTTCAATATGAGACTGGAGGAGGCGGAAGGACAACCCGGGGTTTCCTCCCAGAATATCGAGTTGAATGGTGGCCCCTGAAAAGACATCTCAGATCCTAATCTCTGAAAGCTGTAAACCTGACTCCACTAAGAAAGAGGGTGTTTGCAGATAGAATTAAGTTGAGGTTCCCTTCTAGCTGAGATCATCCTGGCTCCTCCGGGTGGCCCCGAAAGCCAACCACGAGGCTCCTTGTCAGAGACGGAGGGGAGAAGACACAGACCCAGAGAAGGCCGGGTGAAGAGCCAACCAGACCCGAGTGGTGTGGCCACACGGAGCTACCAAAAGCCACAAGAGGCAAGAACGGACTCTCCCCAGAGCCTGCGGCAGGAGTGCATCCCTGAGAAGACCTTGGACTTGGACTCCAGGTCTCCAGAGCTGTGAGGGAATGAATTTCTATTGTTTTTAAGTCTCCAGGTTTGTGCTCATTTGTTAGGGCAGCCTAGCAGCTGTTCCAGGAGTAACTGAGTGTGTGATAGATGGCGCCATGCACAGAAGGGGGGAGACGTGGCGCGGGTCTTGCAGGACAGGAGCCAGAGTGTGAGTTGGATTTGGAAACGCAGGCGCGGTGCGACTTTCAGAGGCCAGATGAAAGGGCAGCGTGGGCCGCTGTAAACACTCCTTAATTGATAGCCGTTGCCGCTGTTGTTTCCTCTTGGAATGCTCCCTCCTTAGATGTGATTGCTCCAGTCTGGCTTTCTGTGATTTTGGGCGCCGGTTTGAAGCTCTGCCAGGACCGCAACAAAGCTCAGCCCTTTCCCCGGGACTCCCCGCTTCACCCAAATGTCTCCTGGTACCAAGTTCTGTTTGCACCGATTCACCTTGGGCTGGCACCCACCGCGTCCCCACCCAGAGAGCCGACATCACAACCTCCCGGAAGGAGCCACGGCGGCCACCGTTCCCTCCCCCTCCACCCAGAGCCGCCCAGGCAGCAGGAGCCTGCCATCTCCTGGACGAGGACCATCCTAGCAGCCTGGTCACAGCGTCAGGATGAGAGAGAAAACAGTCAAAGTCACGCAACTTCTCCAACCTCCAAATTCGGATTCAACTAATCGGGTTCCAAAGGTCAAGGACACGGGTGTGACACACTCCCCCTCCCCCGTCTCTAAAATCACTGAGAGGTCCCCAAACGGGGCAGAGAGCCCAGTCTCTTTACCGCCCTCCGGTTGAAACCAAACACCTTCCCCGCCCCTTCCCACTCTCTTCCTTCTCCACTCACAGGCGGCCCTGGGGAGCCAGGTCCAGGGCTCCCCTCTCTGCTGCGAGCCTGGGCCAGACCTCCTGCGCCCACACCCACCCTGTCATCTCTGGAGCACCGTACCCCTGCGGTGAACGTGCGTAATGCAATGTCTCCTCACGCAGCGCTCCCTGGGATACTGGATTCATTTAAACTTAATCATTATGTTTCAAAGACTTCTCTTCCCTGGACATACCTCCAGCAGGCGTGGGGGTGGGGGAATGAGATCTCAAGCATTGGCTTAACGGCTGCATCATGATTATACATGATAAGGTAACCAGATCGTCCCGCTTTTGGCGGGATGTCCCGCCAAAAGCGGGATGGTCTGGTCACCTTATCAAGGCATCACTGTGTGTCACGAGTGACAAAACCCCAGCTCGCACAGGCTTACATATAAAGAAGAGACTTTGTCGGCTCACAAAACTGAAAGGTGGAGAGGCAGTTCCCAGCTTCAGGTGGGCTGGATCCAGGGCCTCAAATGATGTCATCAGCCCCCTCTATCTCTGAGTTCTGCTTCCTGTCCATGAGTTCTGGCATTCTACCAGCTCACCACGCTTACCAAAAAGCAAGCTTCTCTTTAATAGTCCAGCTAGTTCAACTACCAGACTCAGCAATGATGTGGGACACATTTATGCTACGAAATTATCCCTAGCTAATCTGGAATTCAAATGAAAGTACGCATGCTGCATTTTATCTGACAACCCTCAGTCTCATGCAGGTTCTAGGGCTGAATCTGAGCAATTTGAATCACATACCTTCCCAGACCAGGTCAGGAGGATGGGCTACGCACTGACCTGCTGCACCTGCTGGTCCCTGGACTTGGCCAGGCAGGGCATGTCTCTGATGGCCCCGCCCATGACGCCCTAGGCCCCGCCCCCAGCGTCCGAAGCCCCGCCCGCGGCGCCCGCGGCCCCGCCCATCACTCTGGACCCCCGATCGCTCCAGCTCAGCCATGGCGCTCGAAGGCCGGTGGGTGCTCGCCCTGTGGAGGGCCTGCAATGTGCTGATGGCCGCCTTCTTCGCGCTGGCGGCCTTGGTGCAGGTCAGCCCCCCGGCCTCGGAGGCGGGCGGAGGGCGGAGGGCGGTGGGAGAGGGCGCCGGGCTCCAGGCGCCTGGCCGGGCCGGCCTGCAGTGTAGAACAACGGGAATTGGGTGTTATGTTTCCGTATCCCCCTAAGGCTTAGGCCTCCCCTACCTAAGGGGTATGTTTGTTCCTACGACCGCAGCCCACCCGTCTCTTGTTTAAAGGCTGGTGTTACTTCTTACCAGAAGCAGCTCGGCGCTTTTCTTAATATCCGACCCCTGGATGAGACTGAACCGAATTCAGGACCTGGAAACAAAGCCCTTTAGAGCACGATGAAGGCCTTCAGGCCCCTCCTCATAGCTCTCCTGGTTCCTTGAGGCGGGAGGGCCGGCCTGGAACAATACTCCTTCTAGGTGGCTCTTCTGTGCGGTTCAAAGCGTGAATGGATGTGCAGATCACGGCTGTGCTCAGCCCAGATCACCTGCTGCGCTGTGCTCAGCCCGAAGGCCCTTCCCCCATTGTGATATGCTAGGCTGGGTCTTCCTCCTGTTTAAACCAGAAATCCAAACCAGAATATATAAATGAGTGCTCAATGGGTGCCTGTTGCAGCGTTTGCCAGGTAACAAATGACAGACTAATCAAAGAGCAGACCTGAGCTTGGAACCTGACAGTGAGTCTGATGTTTTGAATTCCAGGTGAATGATCCAGATGCAGAACTCTGGGTGGTGAGTCTGAACTGCTGTTCCCCCATCGGGAAGAGCTGTGGATTGCAGCAAACACCCAATATTACCTATTTGCTACCACCCCCTCCCCGTTGCGCCCTTACATATGTAGAAATCAAATCCTTTGTAAGCTCTTTCCCTTAAAATATTAGGGGGAAATTGGTCCAAGTGTGTGTGAACTCAGAATTTCCCAGAGACCTCGGTGTCTTCCAGCAGTATCTCCTTCGAATAAAATGGTTCGACTGAGGACACTTTTTTGACACACAGAGAAGAACTCTCAAGGTCAACTGAACCATTCTATGTATGTGAGTTCTACCCAGAGATTCCAACAGACATCTCACAGAAAAGGCAGGCTTAAAGTTTGTGCTAGTTTAGTGAGTTATATTTATAGGAAATAACTAAAGCCCACACACCTACAGTATACAATGAACTAGTCTAAACCAGTGATTCTCAACCCGTGGGTCGCTAAGACATCCTCCATATCAGATATTTACATTACAATTCATAACAGTAGCAAAATTACAGTTATGAAGTAGCAACGAAAATCATTTTATGGTTGGGGTCACCACCACATGAGGAACTGTATTTCACAGGGGTCACGGCATTAGGAAGATTGAGAACCACTGCTCTTAAATCATTTTTTTTTTGGTGGGGGAGGGGCTTAGGAAGGGTGAATTATTCCACACACTTTCTAAATATCTAGATTGTGCCCAGTTTCTTTCAATACAAATATATAAGACTCTGCAATATCACTGATGAGATGATTTTAGGCTTTGGAATAATGTCAACCATGTACGGATTAGCAACAAGTGAAAGCATTTGGAATTATAATGTAAAGTTCTAAGTCAGTTTTTTAGTGCAGAACTATATTCTCATATTGTCCAGATTCACATGTCCCTGCATCAAATAAAATTGCCTCTTCTTCAGCATTCTAGCCTGCATCCTGAGTTCCAAATATTATTTCTCTGCAGACAAGTCTCAAATATGCAGCGAACGGTGAAAGGCTTTCTGTTAGATATACTCACCTGTAGGTCACACTGGGTCCTCAAATCGAGGACCTACCCAGCATCTTTCCACTGAAGCCCACTCCTCTTTATGACTCAACAATTTCTGTTATCAGCAGAATCATTCTCTGAGTCATCCTTGCTCAAAACCTGTCATCTCAAACATTTCTCTGGTCTTACTACTGTATTTGACATCCCCTCAAAAAACAACAAAAACAAACAAGTAAAACAAACAAACAAAGCAATCCAGCAACAATGGAAAATCCAGTGTAAGTCTAATTGCTTATCTGTACAGAACCTGTACATCTTAACTCACTTCATGCTTAGATGCCATAATATGAATAATAAACACCATGTCCCCACAGATGGCCTCCCTCATTCCCAGTTTAGTCTCCATTACCTCCCACACGGACCCTCGTAATAACTTCCTAATTCTTCTAGCTGCCTCTAATCTCTTCTACTGAGAACACTTCCTAAGGTTTGCTTCCTACTTAGAAAACTGTTGTCATTTCTCAAGATGTCGAAGTTGAAACTCCAACTTGGCATTCAAGGCTCATCACAATTTGGCCTCAACCCACCTTTCAGCTTGGTCTTGGAAGCCCAGACCAGTTATAATAGTTACTGTACCTTGCGCCTAAAATTCCTGCATGTCTACTCAAGCTTCAAAGTTTAACGTATATGCTATCTTATCCAAAAAATATTCTCTTCCTTTCCTGTAGGTTCCAGCCCTCCTTCTTCGCGTCTTTATGGTAGCACTATGCATTTTTCTTTGCATTGGAGTTGACTCTCTACATACCAACACCCAGGAGGACAGGGGCCAGTGCCTTCTTCTTGATGTCCTCAGGCAGCCTAACATAGTGCCTTCTCATAGCAGTCCTTCTCTTATTGACTCTTGAATAAATGAAAGAATAAATGTATGCACAGATGAATATTATGCTACTGGACCCCGGGCCTTGTACTGCACCTTCCTCCTTTCCATGTTCCCTACTTCATATTACCCATGAAGCGTACTTGTATCAAGATACATGCAGTGAAAATAATAGGATTCCTGACTAGCATCAGGTTATAAAAATACAGAATTTCTCACTTAAAAGAAGTGCAGAGGCAGCTACTCCATGGTCAACAGCATCCTCAAGGGCCTGGGTTTTCTGTCTCTTGTCTGCTCCTCAAAGTGTGCTATATCCTCTCATGTTTACAGAGTGGCTGCTGTGACCCCCAACATCTCATCCCCAGACAAGAGCATCCCTTGTAGGAAGAAACAAGGCAGGAGCAAAAGAGTGCTTGTCCTGAGCTTTCTGCCCTTTTATCCGGGAAGAAATCTCTCCCTAGGAGCCTGCAGGCAGGCTATTTAGGTTGTACACACAGATATGGCTTATGGGCTGGGATCCATTTTGATTCATCAGCATCCATGCATGTTGGTCAGCATCCATGCATGTTGGTCAGCATCCATGCATGTAAGTACTTTAAGCATCAGCTTTGCCCCCAGACTTTCCATTTCAGTGCTGGAATGTGACGGCCCCTTGCTGCCAAAGGGGCTGGGAGAACAAGCGGGCTTTCCCATTCTTACAGTGGCAAGGGGACAAGGGAGGCAGTATGAGGAGTGACAAGGGATGAATTAAACTAAATATTGTGAATGAATAGTATGATGCCTTAGTTTAAAAAAATTCCACCAACAGAAAAAAAGACTATTAAAATGGGTTCTACTGAGCTATTATTTATACTGTGCTTTGTTTTTGCTTGTTACTAAAAACAATTATTTTTAGCCTCTCTGCCCTCCAAAAATTATCTCATTCAAGAGAGAGAAAATAACTTAAATAAGGATTAACATGGCACAATGGCCATGGGAAACCATTACTTAATTTTAAGGGTGACTTTGTTCAAATGTTTATAATATACTGAAATGAGATCTTACTTGACTCTGTGAGTCACAAAAACATGACATATTTGAGTGCGCATGTTAAAAATCTCTGCCAGACATTTCTTACAGAAAGCACAGTGAAATACTGCACGGCCTGTGTGTGTTCAGTTTCTCTCCTTCGCGGTGGCTAAGCCATGTGGTTTTTCAAAGTGGGAAAACCACCCCCTCACTGCTCTCTGGAAAAGCAGCAGCACCTTCCCGGGGAGCTACCTAATTAGAGAAGCAGAATCTCTGCCCTACCCCAGAACTTAGAATCAGACCTACATTTTAATAAGATTCTGAGGTAATTCACATGTACATTAAAGAATGAAGCACTGGACTAGCCCTCAGTAGCATGACTGCCCACCTGTGAGAGAGGACCTGTCTACATTGGCTAAGACACCAGGAATCATTAGGGAGGGAGTAGGAAAGACTAACAGAATTGGTATCATCTAGACACTCTCTCTCAAGAAAGTTCGAGATAGACATGTTTTGCCGAAACCAGTCTGGCTCAGTTGGATAGAGCATTGGCCTGCGGGCTGAAAGGTCCTAGGTTCGATTCTGGTGAAGGGCATGTACCTTTGTTGTGGGCACATCCCCAGTAGGATGTTTCTAACTCTCTATCCCTTTCTTCCTCTCTAAAAAAAAAAAAAAAATCAATAAAATATATTAAAAAAAAAAAAAAAGACAGACATGTTTTTAGTGTCAGCAAATCACTTAAAACATTCAGCTCTGACAACTTCTAAATAAACTAAACGTTCTGTCGTAAGGATCGCAATTAGTGCAGTGAAGCAACTACTTTTTGGGGAAAACCCATGTTTTTATACACCCACCATCTCCTTACTTGTCCTGGGAAAGACCACGTTTCTTTTTTTTTTTCTTTTTAAAAAAATATATTTTATTGATTTTTTACAGAGAGGAAGAGAGAGGGATGAGAGATAGAAACACCAATGAGAGAGAATCATTGATCAGCTGCCTCTTGCACACCCCCTATTAGGGATGTGCCTGCAACCAAAGTACATGCCCTTGACCGAAATCGAACCTGGGACCTTTCAGTCCACAGGCCGATGCTCTATCCACTGAGCCAAACCAGTTTCGGCAAGACCACGTTTCTTATAAATCCACCATCTCCTTACTTGCCCTCTTCCCGCAGCACACATGCAATAGCAGGTCTGCTTGCTATGAATGAGGCTTGAAAATAGGGCCCCTTCAGGGCCAGGCTTCCAAACTCCAAACCAACAGTTTCTAAGATGAATAGCCTGGTCTTCCTGGCCACATCTGATTGACTGTGAGGGAACTTTCTGTGGTCTCACTTGCAGAGATGGAATCTTGGGCTGGATGGTCCATTGGTGCCAGACCCAGCAGGGCCACCTAGCTGATGGTGGCCCCTCCTGTCCTACTTGTCAGTGCCTTTGACAAGTAGGACAGGAGGGGCCACCATCAGCGAGGTGGGGAAGGGCCATTTGGGCATGGATGTTGCTTGGGAGAGATTAGGAGGTCAGTGAATAACATGACAACCTGACATGGTGTGTGCCATAAAAACAGGTTACCACTGAAACCTACTGTAAATCGTGGACTGTGATGGCCCCTGATGTCTTTCTTGATTTCAATACCTAACCCACGTGACTTCTTCTCTCTCTCTGCTAACAGGTTATATATGTGATTCCTACAGTGCTGACCTTGCTTGTTGGACTTGACCCTCTTGTCACAGGTATGAACCTTAGAGTCTGAATGGAGATACTTAAAAAAATGCTTGTGAATGAATCAATGAAAAACAGAGGTTTACCATATATTGATTCTGTAACTTGCTTCATGGACTCCTTACACACACATATATATATATATATATATATATATATATATATATATATATATATATATATATATCCCAGTGGGTGTACATGTAAATGATTCACTCCAAGTAGCTGGTTTGTATTGTCCATAGTGCACTTCCTCAATTGTGGGCAAAACGTAGCTGCTTGCCTTGTATGGCCTGAAAAACTCTCAACAAACCTTAAGCTGGACAATTATATACTATAAAGCAGTGCCTTAGGAAAAAATACATTATTGACTATCATTTTCTTATTATTTGGGGAATATTACCCTGCAAGTTATTCTTTACATTCTTTAAGACAGCTTCTACTCATAGGACTGGGGAGTTCACAGGGCCTCAGAATAAAAACTGAGTCTCACCTGGGTGGGGAAAACTCCCGCCCGCAGGTGCATGGGCTCCTTGTGCTCTGTCTGTATCTTTAAAGTGTGTTAGGGCTCCAGTCATTGCAATCAAGGAAAAAAAGCTAAACTCGAATGGGCTCCAAGCAGCAAAGTAGATGTACTGGGATACTTTACTGGCAAGGCAAAGGGTGCTAGCTTGGGGCACTGGGCTTAAAATTTTAACTTCTCTACTCTCAGTTCCATCGATTGCACTGACTTCCGTCTTGGGCCCCATGTAGTAGCTGGCAGGGCCAAGTTTCCCTCTTCACTACACTAAGTCTCACATACGAGAGAACCAACTTCCCTGATGTCATCACAGGAGTCTCAGTTGTTGGGCCTGACTTGTCATCTGTTTATGCTGAGCTTGAGTGAAACATATTGACTGACCTAGCTTAGGTCCATGCGGCTAGGGTGGATTTTCAAGGAAAAGAAGGGTAGTCATCACAGAAAAAGGAGTGCTGGACAGCAAAAATAGTAAATGTCCACCTAAGTTTATAATTACGGCTTTAACTTCCATGATGTCCCTCAAAACCAAACCCAACCAAACCCAGCCTATCCTGAGTGCTTTGTCTGAAAGCAGACCACAGCAAAGCACACACAGACTGGTTTTCTCTGGAATGTGATTCCGTGATTGGTTTTTCAGATAACCTCATCTGGAAGAGTGTCGCAGCAGTCCTTGCGTTCTTTTGTTTGGTGTGGGCTGCCAGCTTGGCACACTACCTCATGCTTCACTCACAGTGGTTCGTCTTCCACGAGGAAGAAGGCAGGTGAGCACTGGCCTTTGCTCTCTGGGAGAAGTGGGAAGGAGAAAACGTGATCCTTTCTTAACTCCTTATCTGTGCCTATCTCAAACTACACAATGAAAAGCAGGGAAGGTGTAATCTCCATTACAAGTTGAGGAAACTGAAGAAACAATGTACTCAAACCCAGCACCATCTAGCCCACGCTACGCCATGATCACTTCCCAGGCAGCATTGCATACTACATTACACTGACTTCAGTCTTGGGCCCCACAATGAGCAATGGACCTTGGCCCCTTACCATGAGCAAAGATAATAGTCCAGTCTAATCAGGTGAAAACTCCATCAGCACTGACTCAGTTCTGGGTGAAGCCACTCTTACCTATAAGTGTGATCAGCCACCTGAGAGGTCAACCTGGTTCAGCTTGGCCCTGGTATATCTCATGGCATCTCCTTTTGCCACGGACATTCATTCTTATCAACTCCCTTTGCTGCCTCCCTCTTTGCCAAACAGCCAGATTCCTTTACTTTTTATTCCACTAACATCGGAATACGAAGATTTTAGAGACCTTTTAGTATCACTGGTGAGGTACTGCTATATTATAAATCCTAGTCCTTGGAAAACTGGATCGGGTTGGGTCATTCAGTGGGAATTTAAACCAAATGAGTTGAATCACCTCCACCAACTTGGTGGGTGAACTCAAAGTGGGGTTTCCAGTGGTACTATGGCCAAATACAATTAATTTCTACTCTCTGGGGGGGGAAAAATAAGTGCTTTTAACTAGCATTTCTAGCATTAGTCTGGCTCACTACAAATCATTTATCTTCACAAAGATATGGCCTGATCTCTGCAACATGGGCTCAAACCATTTGTGCTCTACCTAACACTACACACTCTGAGGTTATCTAAAAAGAATACCTGATCAAGTTGAAATTTTCTTGGTTGTAGTATTCCACCCAGTGACATGAAATGATTTAGCTGTGGTTCTGTTTTATTGGTTTTGTTATTGTTCACTTCTAAGTTGGGGTACAGCCATGGAGTTCATATCTGCTTTATAAAATGGAATTTATTTTTACATAGGAATTTAAACAAAGAAAAAAGTAATTTTTAAATCATACCAGATTTGAAAAATATTATATAGATGCTATATATCTTGGGGGAAGCCATTCAACAACCAGAAATCACGTGTCATGAAGATAATGGGGTGATATGCATCTCACTTGCAGCCATGTCACAAAGATGAAACGTATGCTCTTTTACAGGGAGCTGTTTGGCCTGGTGCTTATCGTAGCATGGATGAGTCTATGCCACAGTTCATCAAAGTAAGTTTTCAAATCAGATGTTTAAAGGTTGATCAGTTCAGGTAGGTTAGTGAGAATATTGAAACACAAATAAAAATAGTAATCTTTTGAAATAAAAATCTCCTCCCCTAAGGAAAGCTAATAGTTGATTCAAAGTTTCATGATCATTAATCATGAATACCAGTTTCCTACATGGCCCAGTGTAATCATATGGAGTTGCTAGCATAAAGGGTGTTCTTCAGAAAGAAGGGAAAATGATCTCAGAAGGAAGCTTGGAGATTTAGGAAAGAATGAAGAGCAAATTTTTAAAATGTGTGAGTACATATAAATGAATATTAACTTTATAAAACAGTAATGATAGCCGGGACCGGTTTGGCTCAAAAAGGGACTGAAGGGTCCCGGGTTCGATTCCGGTCAAGGGCATGTACCTTGGTTGCGGGCATATCCCCAGTAGGGGGTGTGCAAGAGGCAGCTGATCGATGACTCTCTCTCATCGATGTTTCTAACTCTCTATCTCTCTCCCTTCCTCTCTGTATAAAATCAATAAAATATATTAAAAAATAAAAATAAAAAAAAAATAAAACAGTAATGATATTTTGTGGGCTTAAACATATAAAGAATAAAAATGCATGACAAGCCTAGTATATGTTAGAAGGGGATAAATGAAGGTACAGTATTCTAGAATCCTTAAATTATCTAGGAAGTAATACCAATTTATATTAGACTTTGATAAGTCAAGAATTCATGTGGTAATCCTTAGGGTAACCATTAAAGAATGATTATAAAAGGCAGGAAAAGAGAAGGGGAAAAGATAGAACAGATGGGGAAAATAGGAAGCAGATGTTTAGAGAAACCCAAGTATATAAGAAATCACATTAAATATAAATGTTCTAAATATTCCAATTCAGAGTTCAAGATTTTCAACGTGGATAAAAAGATTTAAAAATCCACTAAACACTGCTTATAAAATTCACCCCTTAAATATATAGATACAGAAAGACTGAAAGTCAAAAGATGGAAAAAATGCATGATCTAAATACTAATCAAATGAAAGTTAGTACATCGATTTTGAAAAGCAGACTTTAAGGGCAGAATTACAGAAAAAGGACTGTTGATGATTAAACATTTTTTAAAATAAATCTTTATTGTTCAGGTTACAGATGTTCCTCTTTTTTCCCCTCATAGCTCCCATCCACCCAATCCCCCACCACTCCATCCTCTTAACCCCCACCACTGTCCTCATCCATACGTATAAGATTTTTGTCCTGTCTCTTCCCACACCCCTCACATCTCCTTTCCCCAGAGAATTGTCAGTCCACTCCAATTCTATTCCCCTGATTCTATTATATTCACCAGTTTATTCTGTTCATCAGATTTTTTATTCACTTGATTTTTAGATTCACTTGTTGATAGGTATGGATTTGTTGTTCATAATTTTTATCTTTAACTTTTTCTTCTTCTTCCTCTTCTTAAAGAATATCCTTCAACATTTTATATAATCCTGGTTTGGTGGTGATGAACTTCTTTAGCTTTTTCTTATCTTGAAGCTCTTTATCTGACCTTCAGTTCTAAATGATAGCTTTGCTGGGTAATCTTGGTTGTAGGTTCGTGCTATTCATCACTTTGAATATTTCTTGCCATTCCCTTCTGGCCTGTAAAGTTTCTGTTGAGAAATCAGCTGACAGTTGTATGGGTACTCCCTTGTAGGTAACTAACTGTTTTTCTCTTGCTGCTTTCAAGATTCTTTGTCTTTTGCCCTTGGCATTTTAATTATGTGTCTTGGTGTGGTCCTCTTTGGATTCCTCTTGTTTGGGGTTCTTTATGTTTCCTGGACTTGTAAATCTATTTCTTTCAATGATAGGGAAAGTTTACTATCATTATTTCTTCTAATAGGTTTTCAATATTATCCTCTCTCTTCTTCTGGCACCTTCATAATTCAAATGTTGGTACGCCAGAGGTTGTCTCAGAGGCTCCTTAAACTATCTTCATATTTTTTCCTTTTTGTCTTTCTGGTTGGGTGTTTTCTGCTTCCTGATATTTCAAATCTTTCCTTTGATTCTTCGGGTCCTCTAGTCTACTGCTGAATTTCTATATATTATTCTTTATTTCAGACAGTGTATGCTTAATTTCTGACCAGTTCTTTTCCATTTTTCAAAATTTTATTTATTTATTTATTTATTTATTTATTTATTTTGTGGCATTCTCATTAAGATCCTTGAAGGTCTCACTAAGTTCCTCAGAGGTTTCTAGAAGATCTTGAATAACCTTATAACTGTGGTTTTGAACTCTATATCCAGCAGTTTGCTTTCCTCCATTTCTTTCATTCGTGACATGTTTGTTTCTGCATTTTGGCTGCTTCCCTGTGTTAATGGAGTGGCTTTGTGTGGTAGGTCACCTATAGGGCCCAGTGGCTTAGCCTCCCCAATCACCTGTGGTGGACACTCTTGGTGAACCCCTTTGTGGGATGGGTGCACAGTCTGGTTGTAGTTAAGCCTTGATTGCTATTGATACCCTAGGAGGCACTGACCTCCAGGCCAATTGGTTGTGAGGATCAGTTGTGTCTATAATGGTAGAACTGCTGAAGAAACCCTTATGGGACAGGAGTTGCTTTAGTGCTGAGTCTGCCCGAGTGTGTCACTTATGGATGTGAGGAGCTGAAATCTGGTGTCGTCTCACACTGATCACTAGGTACACTGGCTCCTGGAGATCCCAGAAGGGGCAAGTCAGCTTCTGCCTGAGACCACCCAGCAGGACCTACAGGGAGATCTGCAGATTTCTCCTTTGTTTGGGGTTTGGAAGTTTTGGAGCTGTTTGACCCAGCTGCAGTTTGTTAGGCTAAGCTGCAAAAGGGCAGGCCATTCATATGCAAAAGCCACTGCGCACAGCTCCAGTGTGTTTGTAAATTGGGCAGGGTCTCAGGGAATCACTAGGGCATGGCAAACAGCCATGACTGCCAGTCAGCCCCATCTGCATCTCTACATCCCATGCCCAGTACAGTAAACAATGATTCCTGTGAGCAGCTCTGCAAGAAAGCCACCCTCTCTTTCCAACCTGATGCCAGACAGTCCAGCTTCTTTCCGTAGGAGTTTGGGTTCCCAGAGTCTCACCTGAAACTGGAGTTCAGAGCAGTAGGGAACTTGTATCTCCAGCCTGATTCTCATGCTTCCATAACTCTGCTTTTCCGTGTCTCTGCATGTCCTAGCTGGTTTCAATGCACTTTTTTCTTTCCTTCTAGTTGTAGAACTTCTACTCAGCCAGCTTTCCCGTGTTCTGGGTGATAATCGTTTTGTCTTTTAGTTGTAGTTTTGGTGTGGTTGTGAGAGGCAATATGTACAGGTGCATACCTTATGCCACCATCTTGATTTCTCTAAACATTTTTTTTTTTTTAATATTCAAACATATATAAAAGCAGAGAGACTAATAAACATAGTGAATTAAATGTACCTATCACCTACCTTAAACAATTTTCAATATATGCCGAGTCTTGTTTCATCTATATCACTGTCCTCTCCACACTTATTTTGAAATAAATCCGAGACATATTGTTTTATCTGTAAATATTTCAGTATCCTTAAAAGCACTTAAAAAATAACCACTCTACCATCATCACACACAAAAAATAAAAAAATAATTCTTCAAAACTGAGTTTTCCATCAATGTTTATAGTTTCCCAACTGTGCTGTAAATGCCTATTCATCTGTGCTCTATATTCCCAATAAATTGGTGATTAGATCTAGAGGCCTGGCCATATTCTGGTATTATTACTGCTACTTCTAAGCAAAACTATAATACTTCATGGCTGGTATTATGTACTTCCATCATAATATACATAATACCTAGCTGTTTCTTTGCATTAATAGTCTTTATGATTACTGCCTAAGCCCATTAATTCAAGTTGCAAAATGATGCTATTCAAATTATACCATTCCTTGATTATTAGTTGGAAAACTTCTATAAGGAGAAACTTCCACTTACCAAGTCTTTGAGATGTAGATCGTAAGAGGAAAAGGGAAAAAAGGAGTTCTTAATTTACCAGTTATCAAAATAATGAGTCTTTCATGCCTGGGCATCTTCCAAAAGTGATCAGTGAGTTTTGTTTATGTTCTGTTATTTGTGTCATTTTAAAGTCATGGGTTTCAACATAGTTTGTTTTTCCAGGCCATGTAAGTTATCTTTATTGATTCTTTAGCTGTTTATCTTTAACCAGTGGCACTTATTCAGTTTTGGATCTTGAGTTCTTTTTGACATAATCATAGTAATCTTTGATTGCTTTTTGGTATGACAAAATGTTCCAAGATAATGTTGTACAATACATTTTAAGCCCCAGACCTGGAATCAACCATTTTCCCAAGAAAGCCCTGGTTATTTTCAGTAGGTAATGGTATTTAGAGGTCACAATCCAGGCATAAGCAGTGCTTGTTGCTACTGGATCGGTTGATTATTTTTTTTTTTTTTGTGGACAGAGCTAAGGAATTCTCATGTATGTGTAATGTGTGTATATATATATATATATGTATATATATATATATATATATATAGATAATCTATAATAATAAAAGCATAATATGTAAATCAACCAAACGACCAAACAGCAGAACGACGGTCCAGACAACCGTACTATGACATGCACTGGTGCCAGGCCAGCCAAGGCAGGTGCAGTGCAATTGGTCAGGGGGGCCCCACCATTGCCCCACAGAATGAGGCCCGGGCAACCCTCTGCAAGGCAATCAATAGGGGACTCTGCTACCAATTGCCCCAAAGAGGGAGGCCCAGGCTACCTGGCTGGTGACACTGTGGCTGGTGGGTGGGGACTTCCTCTGCACTGTAATCTGGGGGCCCTGCAATCATTCGCCCTGCAGAGGAAGGCCTAGGCATCTGGCCTGGTATCCCCAGAGGGAAGCCCAGGCCACCGGCCAGCGATGCTATGGCGGGTGTGCAGGGTTGGCCACCAATTGCTCCACAGAGGGAGACACAGGCCAGCCACGCGATTGCCCCACACCTGTCACCTGCAGAGGGAGGAG